TAAGAGAGAGAGAGAGAGAGAGAGAGCGAGTTGGCGATATTATGATGGGAGTGGTGGGAGTGACTGTGAGGCCCAGAGAGAATGAATGAGTGAGTGAGAGAGAGAGAGAGAGAGAGAAATGGAAGTCAAAGAAGAGGAGAAGCAAAATCGTCCGAGAAAAGACTAGAAGTTCTGGTGAAAACGAAACGGGTCAGCGAGTGGCTGCCCTTTGCCCTTCGTTTCTATTGGGATTCTCGTGTCATCCTGTAAGAACCCTTTGGCGTCAAGGGTTAACCTATACCTAGGGCTTACTACGTGCCCCAGCCACCTGGCCTCTTCTCTCACACTACCATTGACACCATAACCGTACCTCTATACCAAGACTAGCGCCATTGCCACTACCGCCGGTTCCACTACCATCCTGGTAACAGCAACTACCTCCGCCTTTACCTCTCACTCGCTCTCTCTCTCTCTCTCTGTCTCCCTCTCCCTCTGAGGTTCCCAGTCTGCCTACCTAGGAGCCCAGTAGAGAGGGTGCGAGGCAATGATTGAGGGACGGAGCTAGAGAGGAGAGAGAGAGAGAGAGAGAGAGAGAGAGAGAGAGAGAGAGAGAGAGAGAGAGAGAGAGAGAAAAGAGGCCGAGGGGAACCGTAGAAAGAAGAGGAGAACGAGAGTCTTTGGTTTGCGCAAAAGTTAGGCCGGAGCGAGGGAGCAGTGAGACAGACCGCGGAGACCGGAAGAGAGCCTCTCTCCGAACACCCTCCCTCAAGAGAGTGCGCCAGCAAACTCCCTTTGAAGGAAACTCGTGCGTAACACCGTGTCCCTGGATACATAATTTTTATCCTGGACAGCGAATCGTCATTTACACCGTGAAAATTCTCATCGTCTATACTCGCAGCCACGTAACTCCGTGTGTTTTTAAAATCGCGCCAACACGATATCGATCGACAGTTTTCTCGGTAGGACCTTCGTCACGCATCCGTCACGTAATTTGTGACGTCACTGTAATTGCCATCTACCGTCGCATCGCTTATAAAATCCGATCGTCGTCCGGCGCGAGCAGCGACGCAGGCGGCCGGCAACGAGCAACAAGGTGTCGCCGAAGTCTCGTGCGAGCCTCCCAGTGGCTCACTGACAGCAAGGGAGAGCGAGCAGCGCAACGGAGCCGAAAACAATTGGCGTCGCGCGTGCGCCCCGACGCCCTGCACGCGCCTTCTACCTCGCGTGCTAAGCTAAGAGGACAGTCAGACGGAGCGACGTACACACGTTCAGCGAGGAGATAGACGGACGGCAGGCAGGCAGCAAGGAAGCACGCACACCCTGACGCACGTTTCGAAACTGGTAAACGGCGCGCCGGATCGTAACAGTGCCGAGCGTGTTGTTGGATCGTAGATCAGCGAGATCGAGCGACCCGAGTGTCCGCGAGTCCCGTCGTGACGTAGCAGTTCGATTCGTAGCCACCTCCGTGGCCGTTTTGGATCGCCCGATCCTTGGACTCGTCGGTGTTGTGCGTCTATAGGGGCGACAAGGCTGCAACTGTAAGAAATCGCAGGAGACAAGGAGAAAGGAAGAAGAGGCAAGGAGCGTCGTCGGGTCAGTGTGGAGGAAGCGTATATCCGGACTGTCACAAAGAAGGAGCTGCTGGAGGAGAAAGAACCTCCAGACGAGGGTAACCAGAGTGCATGGCAGACGAGGAGGTGTAACGGGAGCGCGCGCGCCATTCGAAACAGAAGCAACAAGTGATATTCAGCCGAGTGAGTGGCAGCAGCAACACAGCAACGGCAGTGCTAGTGACCCGGGGAGAGCTATTGTGACATTGGCTCTCGTTTCCGTCACCGGGGGCCCTACTCGACGATCGGGCCCCGATCGCGTTATTGCGACAATTACGGTCGAGGTGATAATAAGAAAGCGAGGCTTGTCTTTGCTTGGCCAAGAATTCCCGTGGCTCCGTTAACCGTTGGCGGTGGCCATTAGCTTCGCAGCAGTGGCTGGACGGTGTGTCGGTTAATTTTACGAGTGGCTCTCAGGAAGTATTACCACCACGTACGTTTTCTAAGAACGAACGTAGAACTGTGCTGAAATCACAAAGGAGGACGCGCTACGCTCGTCGCCTTGCGAGAGGTCAAAAAGTGGCAGAAGTAAAAGTTATCGTGTAATAATATCGATCCATCGAAAGTATTTCAAGTTGATACTGGTCGGTGTGCCCTGTGTAATTGTGGGATCGCGAAGAGTGTATAGAAGCAGAAACAGTAGCGGCAAACAGCAACGGCAGTGGCGCGCGCGCTCTTGCCAGCCACTCGTTGTGTAAGAGCTGAAAGTAAAAGTTGAAACCGCCGTTCGGCAACTGCGAGCGAGTTAAAATCCGATCCGTAGGCCAGGACGCCGTGGCCGTCGTTGCCGCCACCGACACCGCCGCCACCGCCACCGCCGTCGAATATCCCTACTACTGGTCTGTTCAGTGTGCGCGAGTCGAGAGACGATTGTGCGGGCTTTTTGACGGCTCGGCACTCTGGACGCTCGACGCTCGAGTTGACCGAGTGCCGTTTCGGTACGTGGATACGTCGAAAAATACTCGGGAAAGTACACGACGCGTTGACGCGGGAGCGGAAGATCACCAGGAGGCTGTGCGAATCCTCGGTTGTTTGATTCGACGGATCGACAACGACCGACGAGAGGTCGAGCGGCTGGAAGCAGTGAAATTCATTAATTGCTTGAAATCCTAGTGACGTTCCTGGGAACGGAAGTTAATTATATAATAAATAATAATAACAAGAGTGTCAAGAGTGTCGTGTTGTACCACGGTGAAAGAATACACAAAGAGACCAATGCTGCTCTTTCCGCAGCTCGAGTAAATTACGATAAAAACAATCTGAATCCTTGCTGATCTTTACGTTGCGTAACGTTAACGACGAGGATCGACGTAACCTGAGGCCACGATACGACGTGTGTCGCTCGCAGTACGCGAAACGCCTGACGGATAATATATTGTCGGAAGAAAGAAGACGACAGACAGAGTAACGGTGGCGCATCCTCTTGTCAGTGAGGGACAGTAAAAAGGTGTAGCTGTCCGATTGGAATACTGTCGAGTTTTCACTGAACGCGGAGCCCAGGGCGCTTCTTTGGAAAGAAGCGTGAAACCCCGTGACAGAGAGTGAAGTGAACAGGAGGAATAGTACGTCGCGCTGAGTTTTCGTGATTTCCGCGAGTGATAGCTTAGGCGTTGCGCACTGTTGGAGGTGAGCAGCACTCGAAGGAGTTTCCGAGGGAGGAGAAGGAGGTTTGTGGTGGTGGTGGTGGTGTTGGTGGTGGTGGTGGTGCTCTCGTGAGGTGAAGGAGGTGGCATGACCGGGTGCGCAGGCCGGGTGAATAACGAGTGAACGTGATTCGCGAGCGGTGGAAGCGATGGGAACTATCGAAACTCGCGAGTGCGTCCGTACGAGATACAAGTATCCCGGGTCCCGCGCTTTCCAGCGGGAAAAGTGAGAGAGGTCAAGGAGGAGCCCGGAAGAGGAAGGGAAGGAAGAAATATACGCGAGTGTCGAGAGGAACGTATAGAGAGAGAGAGAGAGAGAGAGAGAGGGAGAGAGAGAGAGAAAAATATATAAGATACAGATAACGAAATTCCTTGATAAAAAGTTCTCGAAGCGTAATTCCAATAAAGGATAACGGAGAAGAAGTGCGCGCGTGTGAAACTGTGGGCACAGAAGGAGTGGAGAATCGGTGGATCGACGGATCGAAGAATTCGAGAGTGTCGAGGAGGTGCGTGCGGACGGCGCCGCCAACATCGTCGAGTAGCCGTGTCGACTTTTACTTCGCGGCGCGTTTCGTAAAGGATTACAAAACCGAGGGAAAAGAGGCAAGCGCGCCATAGTCGTGGCGAGCGTCGAGGATACCTTGCTGAAAGTAAGGAAAGAGTCTCGAATGCGCTGGAATTGAGGTGGTCGATTGTCACGGAGGAGGAGGCGGACGAGACGGCGACGGAGGAGGAGGAAGACGAGGAGGAGGAGGAGGAGGAGGAGGAGGAGGAAGAGGAAGAAGAGGAGGAAGAGGAGACGGAGGAGGAGGAGGAGGAGGAGGAAGGAGAGAGAAAGGAGAGGAGAGGAATCGGCGTTGGAAGAGAAAGAGAAAAAGAGAGAATCAAAGATAGAAAGTAGTGGGGACGAAGGAGAATAAAGGAAAATGTCAATAAACGAAGAGTCAACGATCAATTCGTAATGAACGTACGATGAAAGGAAAAGTACGCTGACATTTCTATATCGCGTCCCTATTGACTATCGACTACTCCTTTCTATGCGCCTTTTCTTTACCTTGGAAGGAGCCGAGGCGATCATAAGTTACCGCGGCAACGTAACCGGCAACGGAATTAAAAGTCCGCTAAAAAGGTTAGGGGGATAAAAAAGGCACGCGAAAGGATAAGAGAAAGGGATAGAAGCTTTAGAGTCCTTGAGAGAGCCCAACGGGCAACGGGTAAAAGTGCCACGGAGCCAGCCGGCTGACCCTGGGAGCTCGGCTCTCGCGGACGCCGGGAAAGAAAAAAAGAACACACACGCACACAGTTCCTCCGGGTGCGCAACCCTTTCTACACCGAGACAACCGAGATTCAAGATCCAAGGACCATTTCACATCCGCGCTTAACTCCCGTGTCCTACTCGCCACGTTCGCTCGCGTCTCATTCGCGCGGACGCTGATCTTCTTTTTCCTTTGCTCATCTTCGCAAGATCGCAACCGCTTCGGATCCACTTTGCCCACTTGCTTCGACCTTTGAGTTCGGCAGTTCAGCTTCGTCGGGACGGAAGAGCGGAGAATTGGGAGAAAGATTTCTTTGCTTTCTCTTTCTTTCTTTCTTTCTTTCCTTCTCTCTCTCTCTTTCTTTCCTCTCTTTCTTCTCTCTCTTTCTTTCCCCCCCCCCCCCCACCCCCC